TGTTAAGTCTGGGGCCTCGACCTGAGAAGTTCCAATCTGGGGGTCCCTGGAGCTGAGTTCTTCCCTGCGTACACATTTGCTGTTTGTTTTTATAATGATGACTTAGCCGTGAGAGGTGTTAACAGAGGGATGGACAGATTGCCTGCCTGTATGTGAACCCACTTCCCACACGTGTGTGAGCATACACTCATGCACTCTTCACACACAGTGCACACCCTCACAGCATCTGCACACATGCACACACACTCACACGCAGGGACTCCCCACATCTGGGCTCTGAGCTCTGGAGACCTCGGATCGCCCCACCCTGTTCTGTACATTCTAGAGCTTCACCTGGAAAATTCCAAGGGACACGTTATCCCACAGCCTCGGGAAGACTTGGGGGTCTTCCCCCACAGTGAGGGCTTGACTGGACCAGCAGCTGGACTATACTGTCACTGCCTGGTGTCTCCGTGACAAAGTGTGGCAGGAGAGACCTGCTTCCAGAGCACATGCTCCTGTTCCTGGGCGGGACCTGTAATAATGGTTTAGCTCTTGGACTCAGGAATGGGCAGCCCTGAACTGGTAATCCAGGTCTACGTTTTACCAGTGGCACGACCTTGGGTCTTGGGCTGCTGGGTCTCAGTCTTCTTTTCTGTGTAATGGGCACAGGGAAGTCTGTATGGCATGGGACTGTGGTGGGAACTGACACAGATGGCAAATGAAGAGCGCCAGTTTCACTTGGATGCAAAGCCGGGCTCTGTCAGAACCTGGTGATGCCATGATGGTCGTGTTAATGGTGACACCTGTGATGTTCTGATGGCGGTGACAACCATGGTGGTGGTTGGTGATGGTGGCAATGTTGTGATGGCAGTGATTGTGGTGGTGGTAATGGTGGCGGTGCTGATGTGATGACTGTGTTCATGCTGATGAAGGCAGTGATGATGGTGACAATAGAGGTAATCTTTATGACCGTGAAGCTGTGGCGATGGTGGTTGAGGTGTGATGGTGGTGGTTGAGTGTTGGTGATGGTGGCAGTGCTGTTGACGGTAGTGGTGTTGTGATAGTGGTGGTGGTGATGTTGCTGCTGCTGCTGCTGGCGATGTGATGGTAGTTTTGATAGTGATGGTAGTGGTGACATTGTTGCCATAGTGATGATGGTGGTGACGGTAGGGATGAGGACGCTAGTGTTGATAATGATGCCCGCAGCGGTAATAGTGGTGATGTTGACATTGTGGTGATGGTGGTACTCGAGGATGGTGATAATAGTAAGAATGCCGTGTAACAGTGATAATGGCCCTTTATGAGGATAATTCTCATGTTGGTTATGTTGCGATGGTGGTGGCGGCGACGGAGGTGGAGATGGTGTAATGGTGGTGTCAATGGTGATGACGGTGGTAATATGCTGATGGTATTGAAGGTGATGGTGGTGGTGATGTGATGGTACTGACAGTGATGCTGGGTTGTGGTTGTGTTGCGATGATGGTGTCAGTGCTGATGAAGGCAGTGATACTCTGATGATGACGGTCATGACGATGGTGATGGTGACAGTGATGCTGTGATGTTGACGGTGTTGGTGATGATGGAGGCGGTGGTGATGATGAGGACGGTGATAATGGCAGAGAAAGGGCAGAGACTGTGTCCCCCACAGATGGCACACTAGCCCTTTGCATACTAGTCCCAGCATACTTTTCTGTCCACATCATATTTTTCCTCCACAGGGGCTTGCCAAAGCAGCCTGCAGAAGGACTGTGTTTTCAAAGAGATAAACCACGTGTTGGTGTAGTCAGAGGGTGGAAGTCTGGGGTGGAGTCACTGAGGAACAAGTCAAAAGGTAGAGGTGCAGGCAGCTTCTGGGGAGCAGATCAAAGGGTGGAGGCCTGAGTGGTCTTTTGGGAGCAGATCAGAGCGTGAAGGCCTGTGGGGTTGGGGGGGGTCACTGAAATCAGAGGGCGGAGGTTTGTGTGTCTACTGAGGAAGGAGTTTGGGTGTTGGCATGGCTGCTTGGACCCTTGGGAGCCCCACCGAGAAGGATGAGCGTTGGGAGGCTAGATGACAATGCGGTGTGACAGCTTTACATAAGGAAGCAAGACAAAGTGCAAGCGAATGCAGAGTGGACAGAGGGGGGAGCGGGGAGCGGGGTGTGAGAGGCCGTCCCAGAGGCCAGGGCCTCCATGCTCACTAAGGCTCCAGGGAGGGTTTTCGGGTGTCGTGTGGGGATGGCTTCCGGGTTGACGCATGGCCAGGTGAGTGTACCTCTAAATTACAGCTAAACCCCTTTTCTCACTGCCTCTACAGGCAGCCTGCGCGGCCAGGCCACCCTACAGTCCCTCCCACCCTCACCCTCTCTGTTGCTTCACCCTGCCCACCGCTGTCTCTCAGTCTCCCCGTTAGCCCTCCCGGGGCTGCTGTGCTGGGACACGGCCAGGCTCCCTTGTGGCAGGCCGGCCCTAGTCTCCTCGCTGGCTTGTCCTCGGCTCAGCCGTGGTGGGCTTCACACAGGCTCTTCCACCCTGGGCCGTGTCTTACTCAAAGGTGAACATCTCTCCTTTGAAGAGGCTTAAGGGTTTCTTCCCACTTCCACCTCTCTGCCTTGTTTTTTTACTCCCCAGTACTTTCATGCACCGACTTGAGCTATTTCCAGGAAGTAGGAGCCAGGATACCTTGGTTAAGTGCTCGCTGCTAACTGAAAGGTTGATAATTTGAACCCGTTGATGGAAGAAGGACCTAGTGGTCGCTCTGCTTCTGTCAGGAGGACCGCCGAGGGAGCCTGCTGGGACAGTTCTTCTCGGCCACATGGGTCACTGTGTGTTGGGACCAGCTCCACAGAGCTGAGCAACAGTATGTGTCAGGCACCATCCCAGGCGATGGGGACACGGCGGTGGGGAAAGCAGACACAAAGCCTGCTCTCTGACAGCTCAATTTCAAGTTGGGGAGACAGACACTGAATCATAAAGATTGAAATCCATAAATGGGGTGTGTGTGTAATGGTGACAGAACAGTGAGAACGGAGGTTGTGCTCTGCTGGCCGGGGCTTGCCTCTCGCTGCGGCGCTGCCTGAGTGAGGGCTGGTGCTGTGCCCAGCCCTGGAGCCTGCACCAAGTAGGTGCTCAGGAAATACTTGTTGGACAAATGACTGTCTCAGCAGGGCCTGGAGAGTTGGAGGGGAGGGCGCTCCAGGGAGAGGGGCCAGCGGGAGCAGAGGCCAGGAGGAGGGACAGCCACGCTGTGTCTGGGACCTGAGGAAGCCCAGGGACTTGGGGGAGAGATGGTGGGCTCTAACGCGTAGCTGTGGCCAGACAGAACAACCCCAGGGGAAGATGTTTTGCAGCCTGGGGGGTTGACACGTGGCCAGCTGAGGTGCCTGAGAGCTTATGTAAGGTCTACGGTTGTTTTTCTGGAACCAGGAGCAAAGACTTGAGCTCAGGGGGGAAAACTCTGCTTCTCTGACCAGCCAGGCCCCCAGGAGCCAGAGAAATGTCCGGACGTATCAGCTTGGGCAGCTCAGCTCAGGGCCTCACAGGGCTCAGGGATTTTGTGCCCATCTCCTGCTCTTACTGCCCAGCCCGCCCACTGTCAGGGTTCTAGGATGCGAGGGACTCTGAAGGGTTGGGAGCTTTCTGGATGAGGTCATGAAGGCATTGTCTTACCCACTCTACCACTGGCCAGTTGGAGGGGGTCTTGACTGGAACAGAAGAGGGTCCTGCAGGAGAGACAAGGGTGACAACTTGCAGTGGTCACCGAGTGGCTCCCGAGGGCTGGTGCTGGGGTCCTGACCTCTAAACAGGGCCTGGTTCTATGCTGGCTCAGTGTGCAGCCTTGACACGCCATCCCTTCCGTGAAGCCTCAGTTTCTTTACCTGTCAAATGGGCATCCGAGCCTTCCTGGGGCTGTGGTGAGCATTAGAGATCAGGATCAGAAAGTGCTGGTGAAAGCCAGTGCCTTTGCGTGGGAGGTAGGACATGATTGTGGTTGTGGTTGTTGTGTGTTGTAGAGTCAACTGCAACTCTACTGTCCATAGCAACAGTAACTATGAGCATCTGAACCTCCCCATCCTGCACCACCCTCAGCGCCCCTGATACACGTGACCCATTGTTAGGGTCACTGCGTCAATCTATCTTGCTGAGGGCTCCATCTTTCCAAGAATCCTGTCCTTCTCCAAGCACTGGCCCCGCTTAATAACATGCCCATGTTACATGTTATATGTGAGATGAAGTTAGTATGTTGTTTGTGAGATGAAGTTTTCCTGCACCATGATTGTGGAGGTCGGTGCAGATTGAAAGCTTTGATGGAACATTGTGAAGAATTAATTTGAAGACAGCACCAGGAGAGCGTGGAGCTCAGCGCAGGGCCCTTCCTCGAAGCCGGGCTCTGTGAAGCTGCTAAGGCCACTTGCCTCTGAGGGAGGCCATGGCTGGAGCCCCAGCCTGGCTGCTACCTGATTGTCTGTCTGTTCTGCCTCCTCCTGGGCTTCAGTTTCTCTATCTGTAAAACAAATAGATTGGTCTTTGGGGCTCCTGGGTCTTCAGCTTTGTGAGGCACCAGAGCAGGGAACCAGAGGGAAGGACTCAGTTACAGGTAGATCTCAGCTCAGGTGTTGCCTCCTCAGGGAAGCCTACCTTGATTGCTCTGGCCTGCCCAGGTCCTCTGGTATCTGGCTTTGGAGTACCCCAACCTCTCCTGCGTAACACACATTTGCTTGTCAATACAGTCTTTTAAAGAAGTTTTAATTTTTCCTTGTGAACTTTCTTTATCGTTGATTATGCAATCAATATACAACTCTGTTCTCATTGTGAAAAAGAAAAAAAAAATTAAACAGTGACTTTCCAGGAAGGTTTTAGAGTCTGCTCTTTAACTCACCAAGCTGGAAGCTCAGTGGGGTTGGCCAGACTGGCCCCCCAGCTCTCTCCTAACCTTAACAGGGTGACGGGGGGGTCCTTCCTGTGGTGGGAAGCGAGTTGGGGACTCCCTCCATGTACCCCCTCTCTCTCTCCTCCCAGGGCTCCCCGGCCAGCTCCAACATGGCTGAGAGCATCTCGCCGCCTGCCTTGGCTGCAGCCCTGGTCACTGAGCCCAGCATCACCGAGCAGCCGGGGCCCCAGAGCCCCCCTCCCTCTCCTCCGGACCCAGAGGAGCCCCTAGACGGTGTGGATCCCGACGTCCCGCACCCTGACCTCGCTCCGGTTGCCTTCTTCTGCCTACGCCAGACCACCAGCCCCCGGAACTGGTGCATCAAGATGGTCTGTAATCCATATCCTTGTGGGCGAGGCTGCTCCTGGACAGAAACCCCCGGGTCACACCCTCCCCTAGGAGGGAGACTTCAAGGCCTGGGAGGCTGCTGGGTATTGGTGACGGCGAGGGGGCCCAGGCGGTGGGTCTGGGGAGATGGACTTGGTGCTTGCTGATGGGAAGGGTCTGGAAATCCCTGATTGATGATTTGCAGGCTCAGGCAGGCTGGGTTCAGAATGCCCTCAGTTCTGTGTGTGTGTGTGTGTGTGTGTGTGTAGCTCTGAGGACACAGTATTAGAGCAGCCCCTGGGCCTGTGCCTAGTGACCAGGCCATTAGTGACCACACATGGCTGATGAGGGCGGGTCAGAGGCCCTCGTGGTTGTGGCTGAGGAGGCATCTGATTCCAGGGTCCAGGTTGAGGCCCCCACAAGTCCACTCATATACTTTGCTGTGTCTCTATGCAGGGTGGGCTGGGAATTCCAGCACTTGCCCCTCAGGGTGTCTCCTGCCTCTGCTTGCTGCTTCCAGTTTTTACCCCCTTCCCAGCTCACTTTTGTCCTTGAGGGACAGAGCAGCATGTTAATGTTGCCATGGCGTGGGGTTTCCCTTCTGTCTTACTCCACACCCCTCTCCTCTTCCAGACCACAAAGCTTCCTCACACGCATTCCCACTACCTAAAAGGCTTTCCACATCCCTCTTCAACAGGATCCTTCACTGCATCCTTCAGACCAGGCTTCCATGTCACCTCCGCAGGGGAGCCCTCTGGGATTTCTCGCCGCCCTCTGTGTTGATAGCACTCAGCCCAGGTGTCAGTAGCTTCCTTAAGCCCACATCAGTCTCCTCTTGGGGTTCTCTAAGGCACAATAGGTTAGGGACTGAGCTTGTCTTACTCAATGTGGGCCTCAGCGTCCAGCCCAGGGCCTGGCCTATGGTGAGTGTGCGCTTGGTATATGCGAGGGCACCTTGGCTGTGAGCTGAGTCTTCAGTATTGAAGGTGGAGGGGGTGGTGAGTGGAGACTTGGCACAGTGTGGGCAGAGGCCTGCGGGTGGCGTGAGGAGCTGGGGGCTGTGGGTGTGGATGGGGAGGGCCGACAGGATAGAATGGGGAGATGAGGCTGGAGGGGGTGGGCCTCCGTGAGCTTTACAAGTGAGTGAGGAGTTGGTTGGTCACAAAGCCTTGGGGAGCCATTGAGGGTTTAAAGCACGGTGTGGTGAGGTGAGGTCTGTGCTTTAGAAGGTCCCTGAGCTGTGTGGGTGTGATTGCAGGTATGAGCGTGGTGACCAGTGAGCAGTGAGGAGGCGGCTTTGGGGCCCAGGTTTGGACAGGACAGAACCTCTGAGCCACACCTGCTGGCTTCTTCACTCAGCAGAGGGCTGAGGAAGTGATGGTCTTAGGTCAGCGCTGGCTCTTGGACAGACAGCAGACTGAAGTCCTAGGCAAGGAGGTGGACTAGAGCTTGGGTGCTCCAGGGACAGCTCTGACGACCACAGCATGGTGACAGGAGCCACTGTGAAACTCTGTTCACTCAGCACACCCTGATGGTCACCTGGAGTCGGGCCCTGGGGCATAGAGGACAAGGAGGCCGAACTGGTCATTCCTGGGGTGTTCTGGGGAGTCGGGGTGAGGACAAAGATGCATCCCTATGGATAGTTTCAGTGCAAAACTTCGGGGACATCTTCAGAGCCTGTAGCATGAGGGTTGAGGCAGCTAGATCAAAGGGAGGAGGTGAACATAGGAGCTGAGGACCTTTGAGGAGAAGGGCTGTGGGGAGAACTGGGGCCTTGCCTGGGCTAGACCACAGGGGTCGATTCTGGCTCCGCCACTTGGATGCTGGGTGACCTTGGGCAGGCCACCTCACCTCTTCAAGCCTCTGGTATTCGAGACCCTCATCCCTGACTGTTATTCTGGCAGAGGGAGCATCTCATTGCTCTGGGCTGGAGGCAGGGGCATGGCTTGGATGACCGGAACCTGAGTGTGACCCAACTTGCCCTGGGTGTGACCCAGCTTGCCCTCTGTGTGTGCACATGGCTTGTGGAGTGTCGGAGAGCCTATTGGAAGGGGAGTCCAAACACCTGTCATGCTGTGACCTGCCTTCCAGCCTTGGGACCCCAAGATGCCAGTTGCACTCTCCCTACCACTCACCCACTAGAGGATACACTCTCCTCCCTCGACCTCTCCCTGGGCCCTGACCCCTGCGAACCCACAGGTCCTCCCAGTTTTCTACATGGTGGGCGTGTGGTCAGACTGGGCTCCTTGGGTCCCTCTCTTTAGTCTCTACTTCAGACCTGAGGCCTCCCCGGGATGAGGCAACTGTGAGTTTCACCCAGGAATGGGGGAAATGGGTTCTGGCCCCTCAGTGGAGCTGGACTTGGCCCGTCTCCTGCCACCTGTGTCTGGGGAGAGTCCTGGGTCCATGTGTACGGAAGCCAAGATGGCGTGGGAAGTGGTGATGAGTTTAATCGCCAGGGACTGAGCTTTCCAGCTCTCTGAGATGCTCAGAGCAGCTGAGTGCCCCTGGTTCCCCATCGCCAGAGGCTGCTGACTGCTGACTTTTGATGATTCAAAAGCAGAGCGTCAGGTCCTGGGATGCTCAGACCCGACACACCTGTGACTGTGCACAAGTTCAATGTTAAGGCTTAAAGATCAGAGTCATGCAGATTCCAAGCTCCTGTGATTCTAAGACACTAAAGTTTTGTGTTCAAGCATGGGAGTGTAAGGTTTGATGTCCTTGAGACTGAAAGCCGCGGTTCTGGGCTCTGTGAGGGTGATCATGGCATGGAAATTTTTTTGGTGTCTGCAAATGTGGACTCTCCAGTCCTTGGCATGGCCCAGGGACCTGAGGGCAGGGTTTTGATGATGGGAGCTCAAGACAGGCTTTAGGGAATTGGTGATGGGGTGTGTGTGGGTCTTTGATCAGGTGCTGTGGGCTTGAGGGTTCTTGTTTGGCCAGAAATCTCGGTGGAAGGAAAGTGACTTCTGGGCTGTACTTGCCTAACCCACTTCTTAATGGGAGCTGACAATCTTTTTTGTTTATTATTATTAATTTTAATGAAAATTTACAGAGACTGGATTTCCATTCATTCATTGTTGCGTTTTTCTCCCTCCCCCCACCCGGCGCCTCCCAGTTTACTCTTCTCTTTGAAAAGTAAAAGAAAAATTCTTTCATTGTTTTACAATGCCTCCCCCCAAGTCCACTCCACTATGCAGCCTTTGCTCTGGACTCCTGTCATGACAGTAATACCTAATCACATATCCCTTTTAAACAGTTCTCTCCCTCATCTGTTTCAATAATTTATCCCATCTTCTTCAATCTCCTCCCAGCCTCGATGTCAGTCCTGTTTTAAAACAGTGGCACCATGCAGTATTTGTCCTTTTATGACTGAACTACTTCACTCAGCATAATGTCCTCCAGGGTCACCCATTTTGAATAATATTTCATGAGTTCCTTGTTTTTCAGTGCAGAGTAGTATTCCATTGTGTGAATATACCACAGCTTCTCTATCCATTCGTTTGTTGATGGCACTTAGGTTGTTTCCAACTCCTTGCTATTGTGAACAAAGCCATGATAAACATGGGTGTGCATATATCTGCTTGGATGTCAGTTATGGTCTCTTTGGGGTATATTCCCAGTATGGAATTGCTGGGTCAATTGGTATCCCTAGTTGAAACTTTTTAAGAAAGTGCCATACCGCCTTCCACAGTGCTTACACCGTTTTATACTCCCACCGACAGTGAATAAGAGTTCCAGTTTCTCCACAACCTCACCAGCTTTTATTGCTTGGTCAATCTTTTAAAGATAATATTTGTATGGTTTAGTGAAAGGGCACAGAAAAAAATTGGTTTTCCATTCAACTTTCCATTCACACACTTTTTTTTTAGAGGCTCAACTATGTCATTTATTGTTCTTAAGTCCTGGACCACATATGTTGTTTTATGAAAATCTCCACAGTGTAACTTTCCCCATTTCTTCCCTGTGATTCTCATTTCCATTAATCCTTCTATCCTACGCCTTGCTGCCTGCTGAGCTGCATCCTGGGGCAGATGCTATCCTTTTCTTTTTTTAAAAAAAGTTTTATTATTTTTTGTGTGTACCGTCAAATTGGATCTGACTGGTACAGGAGGAGATTGCCCCTCCTTCTCCAGCAGAGCGTCTGGTGGATTCGAACTGCATATCTCTGGGATTGTAGTGCAGCTTCTTGCCACTAGGCCCCCAGAGCTCCCTAATCCTTTTTGATCTTATACGGTTAAGTGTTCTGAAGAATGCCTGCCTGGTGTTATTGTTCAAGTTATAGGTTTGTCTGTTGACTGAGAGTTGAACAACAGGGTGAGTTTGGCCCAGGTTTGAAGAGTGACTAAGGGTCATAGTCTCTGGAGTTCTGCCATTCTCCATCAGACTAGTAAACCTGGTCATTTTTATGCTTTTGGGTTTTGTTTCACATTTTTTCTGTCAAGGACTTTCTATTGTGATCCTTTTTACATCTATCAGTTTTCCCACTGGACTCTATGAAGAAGAATGTGGTATCAGGATCAGGGGAGGAATCATCAACAATCTGCTTTATGCAGATGACACAACTTTGCCTGTTGAAAATGAGGAAAAACTGAAGCACTTGCTACAGAGGATCAAAGACCATCTATCTCCAGTGTAGACTGCATCTTAACATGAAGAGACAAAACTGGACCAATAGACAACACCATGAGAGATGGAGAAGAGATAGAAATTATCAATGACTTCACTTGCTTGGATCCACAGTCAGCATCCTTGGCACCAACAACTGGTATATACTAAGACATATTGCATTGGGAAAGTCTGCTGTCATGGACCTCTCCAAGGTGCTGACCAGCAATGATGACAGTTTGAAAAATAAGGTGCACCTAATCCAAACTGTAACTGCTTTAATTACTTGCTATCTGAAAACTGGATGATGAATAAGGATAATTGAAGAGGAACTGATGCCTTTGAGTTGTGGTATTGGAGAAGAAGATTACTAAATATCTCATGGACTGCCAAAAAGACAAATAC